GAAAATCTTTTTTGTTTCTTCTTCTCCTTTTTCTTTTTCTTTTTCTTTTTTTTTTTTTTTTGCCATAAGGAGAGAAAGAGAAAGGGGGAGTGAGAAATCACCCCAAGAGGATGGCCATGATGCAATCCCTTCACTTTTATTCTCCTCTCAGGATTTTGGGCATGCATGCACTCATGCCCAGTATGATTTTCAAGCCAGTGGGTCCACGACTCGAACTGGGGTTGGCCATATGGGAATTCAGTGCTTTAATTCACAATGCCACTTGTGGGTCTCAGAATTTTTTTTTAATGCCATAGGGCATGTGTATATGCATGAAAGAGAGATAGAAAAAGAGATAGAGAAAGAGGAAGAGAGTTCATTTCAACACGGTCAATCACACTATAATCCTTTTTCTCCCAGTTCTCTATCTCACCAGGATCCTGGGCATGCATGCGTGCTAGGATTCCACTCCAGTCAGTCATGTGGGATCCAGCTTCCTCTGCACTATGCTAAACCTCTGCACTCCAAGTTGACCCTGTAAACTTTTTTTTGTCAGAGAGAAACAGAGACTGAGAGAGGAGAGAGGGAAAAAAAAAACATCTCTCAATAAGGCCTGGTCACCCACAATTCCTTATTCATTTCTCCTTCCTGCCAGGATTTGGGGAACTATGTATATACCTCTGGGATTTTTCAAGCCACCAGTTGGGATTCCAACTGGGGTTGGCTATGTGGGATCTGGCTCCCTTAACCTTTAGGTTATACGTTGGCTCTGAAGGCTCACATTTTTATAGAAGTCACAATTTTTCAGTTCCAGGCCAGGTAAAGACAGAGCAGCCTAATGAGTTATAAAGTCAAAGGATGATGGCTCTGGGGTGGTGAGAATGAGGTGGCGGAATTGGTCTATAACAAATATATGTGGGGGGAACTGGATGTGTTGGCTGAAGGCCTACAGCTTGTGCACCATGCATGGCTGTACTGCTCGGTGGTCTGGTGCAGCACACGCTCAGGCAGCAGTGATTCTGCCCCTCGATCTTGTGTTGACAATCAAGTTCTGCTTCCCATGCAAAATCCACTCCACTGGCTGTCCGGAATGCAAATGCAGAGCAGGAGGATGAGCAGGAACATGGTGACTGCTGCTGTACTCAAGTCTAAACCCCTCAGACACCTGCTGACTCACTGCGTCGGGAATTCGTGGCACCTTGGCACAGACTTCTGCTCTCCCAAGAGAGCACTCCATGTTTTCATTTATTTGTATAAGAATGGACTCCTTGATTCTTTGTTTATTGAAACACTTAGAATATACTATTATTATTATTTAGATATTATAGTATTTTAATTATTTTATATTATTATTAACATAGTATCATTAATTTTTATTATTTATCATTCATTAAATATTATTACTTTTACTTAGGTATATTTGACACACAATAAACTGCCCATATTTAAAGGACAATCTTTGACTCCTGACCCTCAGAAACTACATGAAGTCATAAATATTTGTAGTTTTTAGATACAAAGTTTTGGGGTAAAATGATATGCCCCAATAAATACTATACATTGGCTTAAAGCAAACCAATTATTTATTTTTTTAAAGAATTATTTTATTTAACTTTAGAAATCTTTGCCTACCCCAATGTCTCCCAGAGCTTCCCCAGTGTTTTCCAGCAGTAGTTTTATAGTTTGCGGTTTTATGTTTAGATCTTTGATCCACTTGGAGTTGATTTTTGTTAATGGTGACAGATTCATCTTTCTGCAGATGGGTACCCAGTTTTTCCAACACCATTTGCTAAAGAGGTTTCCCTTTTCTCACTGGATTGACTGGTACCTTTTGTCGAAGATGAGTGGGCTGTATGTTTTGGGGTTAATTTCTGGGATCTCTACTCTGTTCCATTGGTCCTCATATCTGTTTTTGTGCCAATTCCATGCTATTTTGATTTGCACAGCTTTGTAATATATTTTGGGGTCAGGAAGTGAGATGCCTCCTACTCCACTCTTCTTGCGCAGAATGGCTTTGGCAATATGGGTCTTTTATGATTCCAGACAAAGTCTTTAATTGTCTTTTCTAGATCTGTGAAGAATGTCTCTTGTAATTTGATAGGGATTGCATTAAATATGTAGATTAATTTGGGTAGGATTGCCATTTTGATTATATTAATTCTGCCAATCCAGGAACATGGGATGTCCTTCCACTTTTTTGTGTCCTTTTTGATTTTTTTTTTAAGGTTTTCACAGTTTTCTTTATAGAGGTCTTTGATTTCCTTGGTTAGTTTTATTCCTAAGTATCTTATACTTCTTGTGGCTATGGTAAATGGGATTACTTTCTTCAGTTCTGTCTCTGTCTGCTTGCTGTTTGTATATAGAAATGCTGTAGACTTTTTTTTTTGAGAGGTTTTTGCTATAGGGCGCGTGCGCTCGCCAGCCAGCCAGCCATAGAGAGACATAGAGACAGAAAGCGAGAAATCACCCCCCAGGGGGGATGGTCACGCTGCAATCTCTTCTCCTCCATTCTCCTCTTGGGATCTTGGGCACGAACGCACACGCGCCTGGCGTGAGTTCTAAGCCACCGGGTCTGGGAAGCAAACCACAGTCAACTACGCGGGAATTCAGCAACATAGCCATTATGCTAACTGCTGGTTCCCAGAAATGCTGTAGATTTTTGTACGTTAATTTTGTATTCTGCCACTTTACTGCGTGCATTTATTACTTCGAGGAGTTTTTTTGTGGCTACTATTGGGTCTTCTATGTAAACAATCATGTCATCTGCCCTGGTGTGAGTTTTTAAGCCTCCGGGTCTGGGACCCAAACCACAGTCAACCATGTGGGAGTCCAACAATGTAACTATTATGCCATCTGCTGGTCCCCTCTGTCTCTTATTTTCACAACAAATCTCTAGGGGAAAGTTTTTACTTTCTTCTTTCTGTAAACATGCAGACAGGAGCCAGCAGGTGGTGTGGTGATAAAGGCACTGGACTCCCACATGGCCAACCAGGGTTGAGCCCCAGACCCAGCAGCTTGAAACTCATGCCAGGTTTGTGTGTGCATGCTTGTGTGCCCAAGATCCCAAGAAGAGGATGGACAGGATCAGATTGAAGCCAGGCCTTCATCCCTGCTCGGGTATGATTTCTCTCTTTCC